GAGATGACATGATGTGAATTGGAGCTATAGAAATAAACTGAATAGAATAGAATAATAATGAAAATCTTCAGCTGAACTTTTGGAAACTGTATTTAACCATCTCACATCTGAGCAGCTTTAATTAAGTTTAAAAATTGTCCGACTTCAGATGGTTCAGAACATATCAGACATGATAACAAAAGATGGATTCTGTTTCTGGACTATTTTCTGTTTTTTCTTCACTGAAAGTCGCCTCTAAATCTTTGTGACGTTTCTGAATCATTGGGTTTCAGGAAACTCCTCTGAGAAGCCTCCTTTTCCTGTGGGTCTGCGGCCGTTCCCGCCAGCCTTTACATTCAGACTCGTACGTTTCCTCATGGTCTGTGGAGCAGAACAAAGGCCTACCTGTGCAGCAGTGAAGGGAAACTTCCCTACAACCTTCCAGCACTTAAGGCCTTGTTGAACCTTTTTTAAAGCTCAGCCGTCTGCACCACCTGCGGCCTCTCAGCAGCCCATCTGCGTCACGCTCCACCTGCCAGGGGCCGCATGCGTGGACCCGGCATGCCGGCCCGGAGGAAACAGATGTTACTTTGTGTTCTGGCTGCTTGGAGTCCACTCGCTTCATGTTTAGATCACAGCTTTCTATGATGCAGGTTCTATGGAGAGACATTTATTCCAGCATTTTTGAAAACAAAACACCCATTTCAAAAATGGACCTGACTTAAAAAAGGTTTTAAAAGGAATTTATAATGTTTCTGCTCTGCTCCCCAAATTCTGGAATTCACCACCACCAGATATTCTTGATATTAACACTTTGCCTCTGTTTATATCAAGGGTAAAAACGCATCTGTTCAAGACTCCACTGACTATCTCAACTTTTTTTAATATATTTTATTTTGCATGATGTGTATCTAGACTGTTTGTTGTATAGTGTCCTTGGGTGATCTGAAAGGCACTTTAAATCAAATATTATTATTATCTGTAAAAAGCAGGAACAAAGTCCCCCGGTCCTCGAACCAGACCCCCTCCTGTCATTGGCTCTGCCTAGAAATCCTGTGCATAAAGGTGTTACTACCCTAGACAAGGGTCCTACCCGGACAAGCCCCCACATGTTACTACCCTAGCTCAGGGGGTAGGAACAATGATGGGGAGACCACACAAAAGAAAGGTTTCACCATTTATTAAAAGTAAATAAACGTGTTAGTGTAGGTCAGTGGTGTATGTAATATTGGGGTGCATGAGGTGTGTGAAAGTGTACATGGGTCAAATTAAAGTAAAACTGGAGCAGGAGGCCAGAGGAGTCCATGGAGCGCAGAGAGAGCAAGCCATGTGCTCTGTTTCAATTTATAGGAGGCCATTGCAGGTGTGATACTCTCAGGTCCGCCGCACACTTCCTGGAAGCACAAACCAGAGGAGCCGTCTCTTCACAATAAAGGCGGCCTTGGCCGTAACAAAGGTTATGAGGAAGACCGGGAACAAGTCCGACCAAATGTCTCTAATGCAGACCAAACTCCTGCTCTGCTGGTATAGGGACCGGATGGCCCCTAGCAAAGAGCTCCTGACTCTGTACTACTGAAGCACCCCCAAAAAAGCACCACGGGGGGACACGGTCAGATGCCTTCTCAAGGTTCACAAAGCACAGGTAGAACAGTTGGGCAAATTCAGAAGCACCCTGAAGGACCCTGCAGAGAGTTTAGAATCCGTCCCCTGGTCTACAGCCAGGATGATAACCACACTGCTCCTCCTGTAGCTGAGGTTCAACAATCGGCCAAGCCTTTATCTCCAGCACCCTGGCATAGGCCTTCCTGGGGATGCTGAGAAGTGTAACCCCCCTATAGGTTGAACACATCCTCTAGTCCCCCTTCTTATGCATGCAAACAATCACCCCGGTCTGCCAATCCAAGGGAACTGTCCCCAACCTCCATGCAGTGTTTAAGAGGCATATCAGCCATGACAGCCCAAAAACATTCAGGGCTCTAAGGTACCCAGGGCGGATCTCGTCCTTCATGGAGTCTTTTGACCACCTCTGTGATTTCAGGATTTGTGACAAACAAATTAGTCTCCAAGCACCATGTCTCTTCTTCCACCACAGAAGTTCTATCATCCAGATTGATGAGATCCTCAAATTATTACTTGTCCAACGATGTCCTCTTTAAAGTTAATGGCTCCCAAACCCCCACTGAAAAAAGTGTTAGTAAAGCACTGCTTCCCCTTTGCCGGAATCCCTTTGACGCCAGCAAACTCTTTGTCCATGGTCTCTCTAAACTCCTCCCAGCAACAGTTTTTGCCTTGGCAACCACCCAGGTAATGACACAACATCAAGATACCTGCTTGCTGCTTTAGGAGTTACACAAGCCAACCAGGCTCTATAGGACTCCTTCAGCCTGACAGCAACTCTTACCGCCGATGTTCACAACCAAACCCCCACATAGACCTGACGGCCACAGCTACTGGCGGCCGCATCGACAAAAGAGGCAGAGAACACAGTTCATTCAGGCTACACCCTCTGGTGTTCATTATTGTCCAATCACGCCCCTCCAGGTGTCTCTATCATTTCCCATTTTGGAGTTGAGGCCTCCCAGCAGAATGATGGAATCCCCCGGCCAGGCAATGTGTGGAGGACAGTCTAGTCGGTATTGTTCCACCTCCTGCACAAACTGAGGTCTCTTTATAAAGATTTCACCTTCTGTCCTTCCAACCAATAGAAATGTTGCTGCTAACATCCAAGCAGAGCAGATTACAGACCAGCCTGTGGAGAAAAGAATGTATTTTGTAAAAAACAAAAACAAAAGATAAATAACATTTATGTTAAATGAGGAGGTTATGTCCCCTAAAAAGCCGTTGCGCCTCGGGGGGCTTCCTCACGGTTTATTTACGACCCTTAACTCAAACTGGGTAAAACCTATAAAAAAGGACTATAAAACAGGAGTAAAAAGTAACAGAGTTTATTCCAGATCAGGTCGTTACAGGACAGAGAAAATGCTTGCAGCTTGCACAGCTGTGGGCTCAAAAAATCACGTCTGCGAGCGTCCGGCAAAGATTGAGCCCTGAACAAGGTCATCTCCTGCTTCTTATAGCTCATGAGTCTATGTGTTGGATCATGTGGATGCTTAGCTGTCCGTATCAGAAACTGACATGCCATCCATGCCCTGACCTGTATGCATCTTGCCTCTATGCCCAAGAATTACAGATAGCTCTCCTCTATCAGACCGGCTCCAAGATGTTCCCATAACCTGTGTATTTTTAAAAGACAAGAAAGCTGTGCTATTTAGATGACCTCCATACACAAAGTGACATCCACAATGTGAAGGAAGGCCTTCTACTCTGTCTAATCTGGCTAACAAAGTAACAATGCACATGATTTATAAAGAATAAACCTAACATTTAGAATAAAAAATCTAAAAAACTTTAAGAAATAACATGAAAAAAACTGAAAACTATTGATTGAACCTTTGCATACATTTTATAAATAACTCACAAAAGCTTTAAGAAGGATGTTTCTTTTTTTTTAGCATATTTTTTATGTACGATTTTGAAATGTCTCTCCATAGATTTGATGAAGTAACCCCACCAGGTATGGGGGCTTTTACCTGAGGGGTTAAATGTAGCTTGGAACTGTTAGCTTGGCTCCTTCCTGCCCACCTGAGGCATCCCCAGGAACATCTCCAGATGTGTTCTAGAAGAGAGCGACATCGCCGCCGAGTCACAGAGGAAAGATTAGGACTGCTAATGTTCTCTTTGCATAAGGATAAAAAAATCCAGCTGAGACTCTTCTGTGGGTTTGGAAGCTGAAAATCCTCAAATTAGAGTCTGGAGAGAAAAAAAAAACAGCCACAGGTCTCAGCTGAAGGCTTTCACCCACAGCTCATGTATCTGCCGCACAAAGTCATTAGTGGCGGCGATGCTTCCCTTCAGAGTCTGTGTCCAGAAACACACGGAGGTCTGTGGCCCAGACCTGGATAACAACCCTAACACGCATGTTCTGAATGCTTTCCCGTCTCTCCTGCTGCAGGCAAACATTCAGATTCGTGTAAAAATGTCGTAACTAGATCCGTTCTCTTCTCTCCTTTCTCTGTGCAGGATGAGGGTGTGGTCATGGGAGCTGTTTGGGGAGACAGGTGTGGTCCTCCTCGGCTTTCTGACGCTGGCCACGTCTGTAGGGAACCTCTCCTCCAGAGGCCTGCAGGTACGCTCCCTCCTTCCATTCATCTCATTTAGAAAGTTGCAGGAGAGCAGGGTCCGCTTCACCTTACCCTGACAAATCTTCACTCTCCACAACTTCTCCAAATATGTTTGGATTACCAGGCAGATCGACACAAAGCAGCAACAAAATAAAAATGAAAAAATATCTGAATAGTGCGGTGTACATTGTCGCGGGAAAAAAGTACTATAAGCACTATTCACTCCAGTTAATTAAATGGAGATCGATGGATTTCCCTCAGTCGGCATTTTAATGCATCTTTGCAAAGACAAAACAAGACATCATACAGACTTTATTACAATATGTAATCAGCCCTGTTCTGATCTGGCCAGAGTTTGTATCTCTTACTTACAATAATACAATAATGGAAAGAACAGACACTTCAGTTAAACAGCCATTAATTACATGTTATGAATAAATCTTGAGAAAGGATCTGGCTAGTTATGGGAAGAAATGTTCGTTGTATCCAAACAGTCCTCACTCAAACATGTTGTGGCCTTGGACCTCTAAAAGTGAATGTATAAAACTCAGCATTTATAAATCTGTATATATA